ATTTTAAGCCGCCGCTGCTGAGACACTTTAATTGCAGCCGCCGCGCCGCCGATGGTATTCAGAATTTTAAAATTTTAGAGCCGCCGCCGCCGCCGCTGGCAACTAGCATAAATAAATGTTTTATTTATATTTTCTTTAATTCGATACTTTTACACCTTAGAATCCCAATATATCTCTTCTTCATTATCTTCCTCGCCTTCAACTTCACTTTCGTGCTGGTTCTTTGACCAGTCAGGTGCTTGGGGTTCTAAACTGTAAACAAACCCTTAATTCTGTGTTGGTTGAAAATTCTAAGTTATCATTTCAGTTCTTTATGTCTTTATATTAGGTATATTAATAAATACAAGAAGAGACGAGCATTTTAAATTTTGATTAACAAAAACAAAATAAAAACAACAAACTTGAATACGCTAAGTGCCTTTACTTATTAACAATCGTGGTGGTGATTTTTCATTTATTATTTACCCTAGCAATTATATTTATTTTTTAATTTTAGACTTTTTTTTTTTATTATGTCTAGATGTGAATTAAAGTTTTTCCACATATGTGTTTGAAGATAAAAAGGCCGAGATATTGAAATAGGCCTTGTCTACACTAAAAATTTTGATGGTAAATTAAGAGATATGATTGGTTAAACAGTTAATAAACATTTAAAACACTTTTAAAAAGTGCATTAAATTTATTGCACTATTCAGAACCGCATTAAAGTTGATGCACCAATCAAAGTCTGATTGGATTTTCCAATGAGACTGACGCAGTTTTCAATGAGCGATTCCTCTATGATTGAAGTGAACAAAAACTACGATTCATTTCAAAGTCTAGGATTCTGATTGATGCATTAACTGACAAATGTAGACATGAATTGATTTAATACGAATTGAATACTGCATTATCCTCCTCGTGTAGACAAGTTCATAGACTAATTTCTTTATGATAATGTAGTACTTTTTAAACTTCAAGCCGCCGCCGCTGAGACACTTTAATTACAGCCGCCGGGCAGCCGATGGTATTCGAAATTTTACAATTTTCGAGCCGCCGCCGCTGTGCAACCTTGGAATATCAAATCTGCGCCGTCGAGCATTTTTAAAAAGTTTTTAAAAAACTGGCGCCGCCGCCGCCGATTAGCCTATCGGCTTACACCTCTAATTGTGAGATGAGAGCGAACACATGATAAAACTGAAGTGATCTTAGATTTTATTTTGAGTTTTTTTGGGTAACGAGAGACCGATGCTTTGATGAACACTCTACAGTCATCATTGTATCTCTGTTGCTCATTGATCGAGATCTTATTAATTGTCTATACTCAAATAGACATGAAAAAAATATAAACAGTAAAATACGTTGATAGCGTCAGCACTTCAGTGTTTTACTGCACAACCAGATCATTAATTTCAGTAAACTTCAATTTCTAGTATCATCAATGTTACTGTGAACATTAATTTCAACAAAACAATGTTTCAGCAAATCTTAGCGCACTTCTATTCTATCGATGATCATAAATTCTTTTTACAAATTTCTTTTGTTAAAATATATACCTTATCTGCATGTTTTTGTCTTGATCTTTGCTTTCTATTCATTGTTTCATTTATTGTATGCATAGGATTTTCAAGAATAACTGATTGTTTAATATTTCTAACAGCTAATGAAAGTTCATATTCTTCACGTTTTTCTCGAAGTGTAGGTGATTCCATACATAATAAACGTGGAAGTATATGCAAAAAAATACGTCGTACCCATCGAGGCATTGTATGTGTCATTGGAGTACGATAATAAAAATTTGTTATAATTACTGTATTCACTACAAAAAATTAAAAAATAAATATGAACAATAATAAAAAGAAAAAACAAAAAAACTTTTTCTTAATTTATTTATTTTTTTCTTACCAATAACAAGAACATTAAGTGTAAATGTAAAAAGTAAATATTTAGCTATTAATGGAACAACAGCTGATGTTGGTGGTAAAATTTTTGTTACAAGAAGTTGAAAAAGATTCAATGCTAAAAGTATTGACATGCATAATGTCATTTTTTCACCAGCTGCTGTTGGTAAACAAAATACAATACATATAAGAATACCCATTAAACCTGTTGGAACAATTAAATTTACTGTATAATATAATGTTTTACGACTCATTTTAATTAAAAATACAATTTCAATATAATCAGGTGATAAGCTTGAAGCATTTGAACGATAATGAACAAATTTACTTGGAATCTATATAATAGAAAAAGAAAAACGAAATAGATTCTATATTTTTAATATTAATACTTGAAAAAAATTTCTTCATACACTAATAACATCCCATGTACCACTTTCAAGATAATCATCTTTATATTTTTCATCACTAGTTACACTGATTGCTTGTTGTGGTAATAATGTATTTATTTCAATTGTTTTATCTTGTTCTTCAGGATAATTTGCAAATGTTACTTCTCGTGCATTATATGTCCATGATGCAAAACGCATTTCACATTCTTGAGTATCAAATGGAAAAAATTTCACATCGATACGACATGAAGATTTATAGATAGCTGGTGGAACCCATTGAACTTCACCTGTATGTACAAGAACTACTTTTGATTTAAATGGTACTTCATAATTTCCATCTATTGATTAAAATTATAGAAAATACAAATTATATATAAATATGAATGACTTCATACCTGCATTATTGAATAGAACAACATCCTAAAGATTAAAAAACAAAAAACAAGAGTATATCTTTGTTTTTTCAATCGTAATTTACAAAATTTCTTTAAAGAATAAAGCTTTTAATTGATTATAGATACGTACATTTCAAGAGAAAAAAAAATGATTAAACCATTGGAATAGTTTTTTTCATGAGAGATTTATATTACATTGGAAAATATCAGTCAAATTATCAGTAATCTAGTTCATCTGACATTTTCTAATGTTAGATAGCATTATAATCTATTTTATATTTCTATTTTTTGTTTTCATGATGATTTTATATTTTATATCTGCCAATTTGGCATTGTATTACTAATTCTAGATGAAATTCGACTTACATTTAATGATGATTAGTTTCAATTCAATAGAGAAATAGTGATAATGAAACAGATAAATAACTTACTGGTGTCCAAACATTTGTAAACGGAACACTAATTTGACGAATACCACCTAAAAAAACATTTTAAAATATATTCAATCATTCAAACGCACAAATTTTCTAACCATATCGATCAGGATTCCATCGTAATTGTGAATCATACCTAAAATACTAATTTTTATTATTGTCATAGATTTTCTAATTTTACAAAATACCATTTCATATGTAACCATGTATTTGTTTTCATAATTTGTTCTTTTTCATAGACCTAAAAATGATTAAATAAAAACAAAATTTTAATTTACATCAATATTTTTTTATTTAAAACATCTATTTACATGAATTAATTGTACTAATAAAAGACCAAATGATACAACAACAGTTTCATTTGAACGTTGAATTGGTCGTACAAGTGGATTATAACCTTGTTCAGAAAATAAATAATGTATAAGACGATTTTCATCTTCAGATGTTTGAACATAAGGAAAAAGATAATCACTACCACCCAAAATGATGATAATCACAAGTATAAATATAATCGACATGTATTTAAATAACGATCATAACACTGTATGTGTATTAAAAGAATTTGTCGTTCGTATTAGAAGGACTAAAATGAATTAGATGATGATGTGTGTCAGCTGTCGTTATGATCATCACAAAAATCTGTCGTTTACAACTAGTAAGAAATTTCATTCAAGCAATGAAAGAAAATTTTTTCTGGATTTTATAGAATTGTTATTAGAATAGTTAGCTTCATTATACTATACATTCATCTTATTTGCCATTATTATTTGAAGATGTAAACCCACAGTTATCAGTTTGTGTTCATGAGTAGATAATCATTTTTTTCTCTGTCGAAGAAGAAATAGAAAAAAAAACCCGATGATGAGAAGAAAAAAAGCACGTCCAATAACAAAATCTTGTGTCTGTATGCCTTATTTGTCTATGATGACCGAGATCGATCTAAAAGACATAATAAAGAAATGTAGAAAAGAAAAACGTTCTATTCAGAAATGCAAACAAGAATTCTTTGCAGAATACATAGCAAAACAGATAATCGAACGCAACGAGAGAAAAGAAAGATTAGCAACGGCACATCTTCATATTTACGAGCAAGACAAATGATAAGTAATCAATTGAACCAAGTGGTTCCAATCGATAAGAGACTATTGGCATATAGTTAATAAGATTAGTTTAAAATTTATTTTTATTCGATTTCTAATTTACACGCTTAATCATTGATGTTTAATAAAATATGATTTTCTAAAAGAATTAAAAAAACAAAAAAAAAAAAAAAAATCTTCTCAATTTTCTTTCTATTATTCTACTTTAATTAATAATAATTATTTTCTACAATAGCAAACAGGTCCCCAATAATCATTTACACATAAACATCTTGTTTTCCTACAACAATCATGTGGTTGACAATGAGATGCACATCGAGTAGATCTTTTCAATATAGCTTTATTTTTATTATTCATAGATTCATACAATTTATTTTGCTTTTTTTGATTGATCATTAGAGTTTGAATAATATTCTGTGTATGATTACGTAACAATTGAGATTTAATCATAGAATCATTCAATAATTTGTTATCAATATTATTAGGTATAGTTACCAATATAATAAACAATAGAATAATTATATTCATTGAAATCCGTTTTTTTTTCTTATGATTTTTAATATGAAAAAACCTAGTTTTTTGTTGCTATGTATATCCGAAAAAGCATTTAATTATATTTTGTATTTATTTCTTTAGTGTTGATTAGTATAAAATAAAAATTATTTGAAAAATAATAATAAAATTTAGATGCGCTCATATTCTAATAGAAAAGTGAATGTGTAGATTTAAAGCAGAGGGAAAAAAAAGAACGTCGGTACATTTTCTTGCTGAATAAGAAATGAAGACAAAAAAAAACAAGAAGTTAGTCACCAAACAATGATCGTTCATACGGTTTGTTTAAACGTTGTTCGCGACGTCGCAGATCATTATAGTCTGGATATGGAGTATGCGAAAGTAAAATACCCGATGCTTTTCGAGTAACAAACTGTTGTGTATAATAATCAATTTTTTTTCGATTATCCTTTTCATCGGTCTCTTCGATTGTAAGATAAGGTCGATAATCATAAGAACCTGGATAATGACGCTTTTCTGAAATAATTTTGTCTCTAACAGCTTCATCATCGTAATCATCCATTTTAATTATAATTTTACCATCAACTGGACTCTCTAAATAAAATTTTGGATTTGGCTCTTTTTTTTTCTCTCTCATTTGTTTACAATGTGGACAGTGTATACAGGTACCACTATGTTGCTCGCGTAGGTTATCAATATTGTGTTGCTCGTGTAGGTTATCAACATTGTGTTGCTCGTGTAGGTTATCAATATTGTGTTGCTCGTGTAGGTTATCAATATTGTGTTGCTCGTGTAGGTTATCAATATTGTGTTGCTCGTGTAGGTTTTCAATATTGTGTTGCTCGTGTAGGTTATCAATATTGTGTTGCTCGTGTAGGTTATTCACACCATGTTGCTGGTATACGTTACCAGTACTGTGTTGCTGGTGCAGGTTATCAACAATAGGTTGCTGGTATAGGTTATCAACATTCTTTTCATCTGCATGTATACCTAATTTAGGTGCATTATTACCCATTTTATGTCCATTGTTTATCTGTGGAACAACTGAAGACGCAGGTTGACCTCGTTTTAACGGATCATTATGCTGATTGTCAACAGGAAATAATAATTGGTCATCATCGTCTTCATCATTAATATCATTTCGTCGTTCATCTAGGATATAGATAAATATTTATGATTTGAATGAAGTTTTTATGTTAGCAAATTTTTACATACGGCGATCTTCATCTGAATCATGTTCATCGTCTGTAGATTCATCAACTGACGGAGTTTTTGCTTTTGGTTTAGGCTCTATTGGCTTTGGTTCTTCTTGTTGGCTTTGTTTTTCTTGTTGTTTTTTCTTGCTTCCACGACTACCCATTTCTATTTTTTGAGTTTAACCGACGAACAAAATGATAATGTCTCAATAAATGTAACTATCAAAAGTAGCTACATATAATAATGTTTGATGAATAAGATAAGAATTGAATTATAGAGAAAAAAAATCTAAATAGACATTATTCTTAAGAGTAATAAAAGAGGCAAATAGTATTATATATTATATTTTGAGCGTCTTGAGTGTGTCAAACTTTTACTTTTCATATAAGTCACACAAAAAAGCATAATTCAACTGGATTATAATCTATTTTTGATTATTCATATAAGTTTCTTTTATACCTGTAAAATAGTGATAAGACACATTTATCGAGTACAAGCCATCATTAAAAAGTGAATATGCTTGAGAACTATTTTACAACAGATTCTCTATAATACCTTGATCAATTCATTTTTTATAAGAATTTCACAATGTCAATATTCAGTTTTAATCTGCTAACAAAAAAAAAGAATCAATACTTAGAAAACTCATTGATTTTCGTAATGACATCTATCACAATTCAAAGTCAAAGATCATCATTTTCGAAACGACATAATTGAGCTTGAAAACAATACTTGTTCTCTTTTTCTTTTTACGAAAAATATATACAACTGTTAAATTTATCCAATAATTTTGTTTTTCATATTTGCAAAAACTTATTGTAAAAAAAAGAAATCTAGAGCAAAATATTTTCTCTATTATTTTAATTAGAAAAAGCTGTTTAAAAAGAATATAAAATTTAATGTCATTTACAAAAAAAAAGAACAAATATGTACTTGTAACAACTCGAAATATTTATGATAGAAAAAAAAAAATTTTCTCTTCTTTTATCAAACTTCTTATTCGTTTCAAGCACTTTTCTATCTCTTTTAATCTCGCTTTACTTTTTTATATTCAAATATTTCTTCGAGTGCTGCTGTAAAACACTTTGACCACATGCAAAATAAATCATATTCTATTCAAAAGTGCATAGTGTTCCGTAGAAAAGGAAAAAACAGATAACTTCACCAACTGTTCGATAGTTTCTCGTTCTTGTAATGCATTTCATTGTTTAAATTTCATGATCTTGATTCTAATAACAAATCATCTTTATGTATTACATATAGAAGAAATACTAATTAATTCAAATCTACATCAGTGGTCTATAATAAGTATAAATCGTAAAATTTTGAACTACTTTTTGACATTTTATCATGTAATATGTGACAGTCTATAGATTGAATTCAATGAAAAAAACTTATTAACGCAGCTCCACAAGGATTGATATGTGAAACTCATATGTCTCATTTTAGCTTCCCTTATACTAATACAAAATACGTGAAGTATGAAATCCCTAAAAGGGTCATAGTTCGTTTTCAACCACAATCGATCATCAGCAAACATTATCTTTTTTATTTCTACAGTTCGAACAGATTCTATTTTGACTGATACTCTTTTTTATTTGTCTTGTTGCTATTTGCATGGTCTTTATTTTCTTTTTTTTTCGTATCATTTTCATGATTTATTATTATTAGTCTGATCATTGATTTAATGGACAAAGAAGCCTGTTGTACACTTTCGTTTTATCGACAGTAGATCTTAACGATCTGTTATGTATTTCAATGAAATCTGAAAGATTGAAATGCGATTATTTCTCAAAACTAGGACTTAATCAGTTTATGCTTTTGTGTTGGTCATACAATAGTTGTGAAGAGAAAACATCATCCTTCATACTTTGAATATAATCATTTATCTGGACAAAAAACTGAAACTACCTTATTTTGAATAATGAAAAGGGTATTTCAGCTATTTAAATTACAAATAAGATTCTGAAATGTTCTAGAGCCTTCTAGTCCTTATTATTAATGACATTCAACACCTTTAATTCCGGTTGCTAAGTTCTGCAGTAGAAGAGAAGGGATGATCTGTAACCCTGGATGCTAAGGCCTAGGAGAAGAGGATAGAGTTCGTTAGGTGAAATATTACTGAATCTGATCGAAGCGTATTTCGATAGTTTCGATGAAACTTTCTACTGGAAATAAGATAGCCGTCCGGAGATAGGATATACTTTTTTTTTGGTTTTTTATATTCGGTGACTAGTGTACCCTATACTTTTCTTAGAAGAATTGTTTGAGACATATGTAGAGTAGAGTTCATCGTATCGACAATTTTCGAACTCGGACTCGATTGTCAGAAAAAATTTCAGACAAAATCCTACTGCCAGATGGACTCTCGGAGTTGAGCATAAAAACCTTGATTTGAATTTCCATTAACTATTATTTTCTTCGAAAATGTATCTGAGCTCCATAAAACACTTCTGATCGAAATGTACAATCAATTCAATGCCATCAACATTTATGAACGCTTTGGCAACAAAAACTTCAAGTAGATATTTTCAAATTTTGATACTAAAGCACTTTTCTCAGTCAATTGATCATTATCATTTTACTTGCTCGTGAAAACAATATCTTCTTTCCAGTTTCTGTCTTGTATAGACAGCATTGGTGTTATAAAAATTTATTTCAAATAACTTTACAACCATCGTATCCTATTATCGAATCATCAGCTTGAATAAATATACCATTCTGTACCAATCCATTTTCTTTTATATACTTGAATGAAAACTTTGCTAATTATCATTGAAGATAAAATTATTCTTGTTAAAAAAGAAAAAAAAAACAGAAATTGCAAACAACTGTCATTTATTCTCACAAATAATTTTTAATTTATGAAATGAATTCATTCATTTCAGGCCATACACTCTAATTGGCATCTTCTCTTTCTTCATATGTATATTTATATGTCCAAAATTGAGATCGACTACATACAAAAAAAAAAAAAAACACCGCATGATAGATAGATAGACTCATCGAAATCAGATATATATATTTAATAAATATTCTGATAAACAATAATCTTCATATAAATATCAAAAGTCAAACAATAAAATTATCTTTTAATCAGTCGTTTATATCCCATGTATTTATACATACATCATCATTCAGATATATATTTGACAAAACAAGAAGAACAACAATAGCAATAAAAAAAAAGAAAAAAAACAGAATCACTGTTACAAGAGAACAAAACAGTTAAACAAAAAAAAAAAAAAAGAAAGAAAATATTTCAAGTTCGTCTCATATACAAAGCGCCGATTGTAAGCATACCTATAAGAAAACAAAAGATGAATATATCATGCTGTGTACATATAATTAGTTTTATTCTTTCGAACCGGATAACGCACATATACACGTTTTACTTGTTATCACATTAGCCTAGTAGGTGGTAAAAATGAAGATTCATGCATCTTGATTGTTTAATGGATTGTCACTACTACTTATATGTTAGGGCAAAAGCTATTATCCTCTCAATGTATATCACATCTGTCTATTGGACTCATTTCTTCTCCTCCCAAAGGCATAATGTTGTCACGCATACATGCCTTTTTCTACTAATCTGTTGTTCTAACACATATATATCTAATCACCTGTCGTATGTGACACGCCTTTTCTAAGGATTCTTCTCTATTCGATTAATGTATATATATAGAACAAAAGAAATTTCTATTTTTATTACAAAAGGTCAGAATACTAACCGATAGTTCCAAGTATACCAGCATAACGACCAATTGAATTTCGTCGTTGTGGTGTTTTATCATAAAATTTTAAACAACCGGCCTTTTCAAAAAGAAAACAAAAGAAATAAATAAAAATTTTGTCTTTCGATAAAAGAAAATCTTCTTTTTTTTTACCCAATTATTTTGATCTTGAAGCCATGATTGAAGATTTGTATCAATAAAATTTGTTGTCCAATCAATAATAGATGATATGATTAAATTTGATGATAAATTATTATTTGGTAATTGTATGATATGTTCAGCAAACATAGCTGAAAATGATATAAATGTTATAATACGTGTCCATGTTATAGCACCATCACTAAATAATTGATTTGCTATTTCACTATGTATACTTCTTATATTATTTAATGTTTGTAAATCAATCGGTGATGATGAAAAAAATCGAGTAATAAATGTTGGATGTTGAGAATTACAAGCTGTTTCACTATCACTAGCTATTTTACGTACAATTAAAAATAAACGATTATTTGTTATTGTTCTATTATTTAAACGCCAATCGAAATAATCAGTTACAATTGAACGAGTTGTTGTTGGACTATCATTAGCACCCATAGTATAGTGAATATATTTATTGTAATAATAATAATAATAATAATAAATTGATTAACGTTTAATGAATGAGAGTTTTCTGTTTTTTACAAAAACTGTTGTTTCATTTGTAATGATGATGACGGTTGGCGGTCAATGGTAGCAATGAATGAGAAAACGCGAGCGTATGTCTATGAAACAAAAAAAGAAAAAAAAAGAGAGAACAGACAAAAAAATTGAACAATCTTTTTCTCTCTCTTTCGTGCTCGATCGCTATATTTTTCTTCTCTCACTTTCTGGTCGTCCGCATTGTATGCATAATCTTAAGACGACAATGTTCATGAGCATATGCGAGAGTGTATGAGCACAAACGGACGTTCAACCGTCGAAAAAAATATATATGTTCAGCTGCTTGCTTAGCAACCAGACAAATAAACAAAAAGAAAACTTGTTTTTTTTTGCTGAAATACAGATTTCTAACAGTACAATTGAAATATATAATTAGAATATATTCAAAGGGTAGAAAACAATTTCGTAAAAATGAATACAAAGGAGAAGAGAAAAAAAAAGCGACACAATGCCGCTATCGGATATCCGTGATAATGAAGTAGACAGACAATATCTCATGCAATGGCGGATAGTTTTGATGATGAATCGAATGCATTCATTTCAATTATCTATATTAGAAATGTATTGAACGTCGGTCGTGTGCGTGTTTGTCAAAGAAAATAGATCGAAGAATAAATCTATAAAGATTATCACAATTTAACTTTGTTAAATGAATTGAAAGACTTAATATCTAATGATTATTAATTTGAAATAATCGTTGAACATTCAAAAAAAAAAATTTCATTATGAA